GATAGGGACCCGGTGACATACAAAGACTTCATATCGATTCTCAAGACGTATACATATCGACAATCCTCATTAGCTTATATGTTTGTATACATACTTGTAACGTTCACTTTTGGATACTAACAAGATGCATTTTCTAAAATAATTCGAATAGGGCATTCAGGTTCTATGTCAATTAACATCACGAAAGGCATGATCCAGTAAGGAAGGAAAGGCTGGCTATAAAAACACTATGTGCAGTAAGTGTAATTTACTTTAGTACTCCATTACATGCCTTTCAAAAGTATTACTTAACATTTTCATATGCAAAACACACGGTGCCCCAAGCAGAAGCCTGGGAGTGTACATTGTGGATATTATGTATGTTCTATGATGAGTAACACCGGTGCCTACAGGAGACACCCTTTAAGGGTAAGTTTGAACCTCTTCATCCGTAGTATAAAAACTTCGCACATGGTATGAAATACTAAACCGAAACTTGTTCTCTTGTAGTGGAAAGAAGAGATAGAAATGAAAAGAGATCCATACAAGGATGACTAACTCTTAGAGCTCGTCGGCGACCTTTGCAACTTTATATTGGACCAGATTGTACACGTCAAAGGCACCTACTATGACTGAGATTCTGACTTAGGTAGAAATCCTCAGTACCAACACCTTCGTGAGACTGAAAGGCTAGCTCTAGGCCGTTGATAACAATGTGTATGGAATTTGACATTGGTCTTATCTTGTGGGAGCTCCGCCGCGCACCTCGCCGTGGTGTGGACTCTGCCGCGCCTCTAGGTCACTGCTGTCAACCCGCGCCGCCGCCGTCCGCCGCGACACCTACGCCGAGCGCCATAGCCACCAAGGTGCCACCCTTGGCCCACCGGTGAACTCGCCGTGAGCGCACGAAGCCATAGAGCCTCCTAGCAGCCTTGCCTATCCACCCTAGCGTGAGAACACGCGAGCTCGCCGGCGGCGAGGAGCGCCGCCGCGAGACAGAGAGGAGAGAGAGCTGCTGTGCCACTGTCGCCCCATTCACCCAGTGCACCGTGTGCCAGAGAGACGGGAGGGAGAAGTGGAACGAATTAGACTTATGAATTATGTCTATTTAATAATGGATTGTATATATTCTTGTAAATTGGACTTGTAATTGTAGCTTATATAATACTCTTGTGTTTGTGGTCAGATTTGAATGATATATGTTCTAGTCAGATTTGAATTATATATATATATATATATATGTTCCGGTCGAATTTGAATTGTAAATTTGAATTTTTTTACGGAAAAATGTACTGTAGGGGCGGTTCTAGACTGAACCTCCCTACAAACAGGTATTATAGGGACGGCTGGTACTATAGCCACCTCTACAAATAGATTTTGTAGGGGCGGTTGATAACACTAGCCGTCTCTACAAATCGATTTATAGCCACGCTTTGGTAGAGACAGCTAGCCAAACCGCCCCCTACAAATACCTATGAGCCATCCCTATAAAGCCTATCTGTAGTAGTGTGATCACTTGAGGAAAGCTACTCCTACCTACATAGTGCTCCATCTCCACTACCAGCACCTCCTCCTATTGCTGCTGCAGAAACAGCGCCACAAGATACAATAATATATGTTCGACGACCACCAGCGCCTCCACCACCAGCACCTCCTCCTCGCCGCATGCCACCCACCGAGACCTACTACTATCCGCCACCGCCGACACAGCAGCAGGCAACAAGGCCTCCAACTCTTCAGACACCGACATTGCCAGCCAGCAGCACCAAAGGTGCATGACCCATGGACCGAAACTACGCAGATATCGCCTCACACCCAACCAGTTCCAGTGTGGTCTCAAATCCAAACTCCATAGGCACCGATAATGTCTCCAAGCGTGCCATCACCACCAAAGGTACTACATGACATGCAGGGCCCACATATGCAGATGATCCCTGCTTCTCATGTGCAGTCTGAAATGGTGCACAAGCTTCCACGGCCTGCTCGTCAACCATCGGACATATTGGCTCTGTTCGGCAGGACTTACTGCTGCTGCGGCTAATTTGTAGCGCTGACTTGTTGTGAGAGAAAAACATTGTTCTATGGCTGAAAAAGTATGGCTGATTTTGACTTATAAACTTAAGCGAACAGTGCCATCATCAGACGATGCCACCGACAGTGAATCAACACGACCCTGCGCATTCTCGTCTGCCATCCGAAACTTATTACTACAACGATGCTGCACTGCCGGATGTGGTGCCGCCACAGGCGGCGCTTCCTCTGGTGACGCACAGCACTTCGTCCCACAAGGGCACTGGGAATAATTATTTGTCCAAAGGAACCTAGCAGAAGCAATGTAACTTCCTAGCTAGTAACTGTATCCCCATGTAGCAGCATATGTATATGGTGGTAAATTATGGAACTCGAAGGTGTCCGATCCCGGCCTTTTGTGTTTCCTTTCTCCTCAATTTTAACTAAGCACTTGCAATTGTTGCACATAATTTTGTTTCTCCTCAAAATATATATATTTTGTGTTTTCCTTTCCCCTCAACTTTAATTTTCTCTACTTTTTCTTTTGATTGATGACAGTGAGCGGACAACTAGTGAATGTTCCAGGAGATGCAATCATGCAAGGCCAATAGAAGTAACTTTAGCGCGCATAGATAATGCCATGTTCGTTCGTTCTAGCTTAACGCGAAAGGTAATTTAATCAATTTGGAAACCCACGCGGCAATTTTCCACGCGCCGCGGCTTGAGTCAATTTGGAAGCTCTCCGCACAGGTGTTTCGGCCGCGCGGGAGCCGGGAGCTGAACACCTAGTTTTTCAAGTTTATGGGGGCTTAGCTGTGTGGCAATCATGCAAGTTTAGAGGAGCAAACCACAACTGAATGCCTTCTCTCTTTTCCTTTTTGTTTACACTTGTTTTCTCTACTTGTTTACCTTGCATTGAGGTGCACATAGCTCAGTTCTCAAGTGCATACGACTCTAGCCATTTACCGTTGGGGGTACATGAACATGAACCTGGTTGCAATGTAGGACAGATGCCTTTAGCCTAGCACGAGATCTTAAGCAGAGTGTGCCTTTTTTAATTTGATGATGGCAGCGTGGGATCTTAAGCAGAGTTTGTTTTTTAATTCCAGTGGCGTCCATACTCATCAATTACACAATCTAATAATCTACGTGCTAAATCTGAGACAAGTGCTTGCTAAATCTCTTCGACTAATGAGGGCATGATGCTTTTGCAGGAGTGATTTTCTGCTGCGTCTTGGGACGGGGTGACACTGGTGTCAGGTTAGTTCCCCCCACTGTTGTTTTTTGCTAAATCGTCTTGGGACGGGGTGACACTGCTGCATCTGCGTCTTGGGACGGGGTGACACTTGTGTAGGGATAGTTATGGAAAGGGGTTGTTGTTTGAGTTCAGTGGATGACCAGTACTCTAGAATCAGATTGATTTGTGTGGCAGGCATATGTAATGAAAAGTGACAGTATGCAAGTGCAGTTGAGTTGGGTCGTCTGGTGTTGTTAAGCATAGTTGGTCATATTCCTTTGGCTTTAAAATTAATAATTTGGCTGTCGTTTATTCTAAAAAAAAATTGAATGCATACATGCCTGGATGAGTAGGTGCTACCTGGATGATTAGGTGCTACTGGATGATTAGATGTTTTCTCCACTTTTTTAGACTTTTAATACTTCTTGATGCTACTATGTGAGTTGTTGGTGATTTTGTACAGAGAACTTTGTGGTATGGATGAGATGATGTATGTAGCCTTGTGATTAGTTATCCAAAGGTACAGTAATTAGCTAGCTGCTGGGCAAAGTTAGTTAGGGTCCATGTAGACTTGAGATGCTGCATGTAGCCTTGTAAATGTTTTTCGCCCACTAGTTAATCATGGAGCTGCTGAAGGGACTGGCTTCTGGTTCTAGGTTTCAGACTTGAGCAGCTCGTCACTCAGCTGGGGCAGTGATAGTTGAAGTTTATTTTCTGTGATGTGCTTGAGTTTATTACATACGACACTTGTGACTTGCTGTGCTTGAGTATTGGCCTTGTGCCTTTTATTTTATATATATGTAATAATATAATTTCATATATGTAACACTAGATGGCTTTTTGGGAAGAGCTTGCTAGAAATTTTTTGTTGAAAGAGGAAGAAGAAGATGAGGAGCTATTCTTTGTTCTTCTCCCTGCTATAATGCCCTTTCTTGACGAAGAGAAAACATCTGAGCATACATCCTCTTCCTGGTGCTAAAAAGGTTAAAGAGATTCTCGAAGGACACGAGAATTGGTGCAAGGAAGAATTTAGGATGGAGGCTGAAATATTTAGAGCTATAGCAAACTTTCTCAGGGCTGAAAACTTGCTACGTGACACGTGGTATGAAGATTGAGGAGCAACTTGGACTTTTTATGTTCATGCTCTCTCATAATGCAAGCATAGATAGGCTAAAGGGAGTTTCAACATAGTGGTGAGACAGTGCATAGGAAAATAAATGAGGTCTTCAATATCATTCCGATATTAACCCAAAAATTCATCAGACTTCCGAATCAAAGCCACACACACATGAAGATTACATGTGACCCTAGATTTATGCCATTCTTTCAAGTCGGTTCATACATACAGTACACTTTCCTTAATACCATTCCTAAATACAATCCAAATCTTTAGTAATTTTTCTTGCCTGCAGAACTGCATCGGCGCTATCGATGGTACGCATGTCCCAATTACAATTGGACAAGACAAGGCCAGTCCCTATAGAAATAGGAAGGGGACACTATCGCAGAATGTTATGTTTGCCTGTGACTTTGACCTGAAGTTCACTTTCATCTCATCTGGTTGGGAAGGATCCGCATCTGATGCAGGAGTGTTGCGGTCTGCTCTTGGCAAGGGATTTACTGTGCCGGCAGGCAAATTCTATCTTGTAGACGGTGGATATGCAAACACACCATTATAGTATGCCTGCACTTGAAGTATGATTGTGCACTATTTTTTTCATAGGAAGTGTTGCTACAGGAGATCTAAACTTCACATCAACTGAGCACTTGTAGCATGCTCCTCTTGTTCCTATTGCTGCTCCAGCTGCTCCGGCTACTCCTGCTGCAGTCTCTGATAGCACAAGTTTATTTGGTACTTTTGATGGGCTAGACATCTCAAGTGCACGCAATGAAGCTCAGTCTATAGGGGATTCTATGCAATGAGCGAGTAGTGGGAGAAAACATAAGCAGAGTCACATTGGTGCTGCTATTGATGGTTTTGTGCAGTTTAAGAAGATGCAAACAAGTAAAACAATGGAAGCACTCAATGAAAAGAAGAAACAAGACGAATCATTTTCAGTCAACAAGTGTCTCGATGAAGTTGATACAATGGAACTTACTGATGTGGAGAAGGCGTATGCTATGAATATCTTCAAATCTAAGATTGACAGGGAGGTATTCATGAAAATGAAAAACAAAAATGTTCGTTTGATTTGGCTCAAACAGCAGATTAGATAATGCTTGGCTGCCACTGGATTAGTTTACTTTGGTATGACTTAGCTGCTAATGCTTTTCCTTGTGCTTACTTGCAGTGCTATCTGTGGAGGCAATGTTGGTGGAGGCAATATTGGCAGAGACAATGTTTGAATTGAGAAGATATCAGGTATATTATTTGAATTTGCCCTTCTATCTGGAAATTGATATGGCTCCAATGTGAAAATTGATACAGTCTGCTGTTGGCTGAATGGGCACTGTGATCTTGTATTGCCATAAATGTGTTGTCCTAGGACTAGTGCCCTCCTACTTCTCTTAATCGAAGGTTGCATGCTTGTTCTGCACTGCTCGGCTTGCATGAAGATGAAGTGAATCTTGTCTTTTCTTGAGATACATTCAGTTTAACCTAATATACTCTACTAGTTCTGTATACATGCCATGTATTTTGAAGGAAAGGCCATGCTACTAGTCTTTTTAGTCTGTCATACATGCCATGAAGAAAGAATTCAGGTGACTGCAGCCAAGCCATAACTAATATACTCTACTAGTTCTATAACAGGATATCCTGTTTTTTTGACTTTGACATTACCAAGTATAATCTGTATGCTCATCTTTGTTCACCGCCTATCAGATCATGTAGTTTCCACTTTAATTATGTTTGGTGCCGGGAATCATAGCAAGCTCTTGCAGCTGCAGTTTTGCCTTAGTAATGCCAGGTTTCCTTTTTAAAAAAATGTGCAGATTATTTTTTCATTGAATCATACAAAAAAGCAAACTTAGTATGAAGTATAGCATTCCTCTTTTTTTCCTGTGACAGCAGTCTAGCCATGGTTGGTTACTTGGTTTCCTGAAGCTATCCAGAAAAGTAGTTGAACCAACTATTTTCACCCTGTCTTATTCATATCGATCTGTAGGTCCTTTTCTTATTCATATATATACTATAGTATTGTTATTGTTTCCTGCTTTCTTTTAATTCTAGGAATCACTAGATAAACTTTGTTGGGTGTGCATCGTCTCTGTTTTAATGATAATGCAAGGCTGGGGTCTTAGGAATTGCTTCTAGTTATACGAGATACTTACTTGAGTACTTGACATACAACCCGAGTGACTATTGGAACTGCACTGTCTCCACATGTTTTCTGAAACATCAGTAGATGGTGGAATGGTAGTGTGATGATGTAGCTTTATCATTACAGATGGCCGTTGGTGAGATATCTCCTCACAGTTCAAGATCTTCCATGATATGATATATGTGGTTTGCTATTTTTCGGTTAACTTCCATGGACCCACCAAACTTGCAGCTTTAATACAAAGTACTGCTCTATTTTGTTATTATTGAATGTGTAGCAAGCATGTCACTACACTGTTCTGCTGTGTATTCTTGTAACTCGCCATTTCCTTTGTGTTACTTGTAGAGGACTTGGTAGAAGCAACACATGATCAGAGAAAAATAAGTTTGTTCCCTTCTTCATCACAAGCATCTGAGAAAATTTTCAAGCCCATAGCGAGATTTGGCTCCTCCTGATTGTCAATTTTTATATACATGCACCTCCTATTTGTCCATTTTGTTATGCTACAGGCATCTATGTAATATATATAATATTGGTGTGTATGAACTGGAGGACCATAATCTATTCTTGTGTATAAGTCTATGGTCAAGAAATTAAATATCCTATTTTATTTTTTATCATCTGTCTAGATGTGTCGATGGAGATGACTACTGATGTTTCTATGGAAGCCACATATTAGCTTTGATGGAAGATGGTACTAGTACTTGAATAGAACTTCTGTATTAATAGACTAGCTTTGTTTCAGTTCAATGCAGCAACAGCAGCTCTGCAGTGAACAACCTGTTGCCAAACGGCAACAGGGAAACCCCCCACGACGTGGAAATCACCCCTGGGTAGAGGCGGGAATCAGATTTCAAAAACTTTCTCCCGTCGGGGGTTGCTGTCCCTGGGCTAATCGGCACCTGTTGCCAAAGTAGGCCTTAAAGAGTAGTATTTTGTTTGGAACGAGAAGAATTTCCATCAAAAGAAGAAAAAAGAAAAAAAATCAAGAAAAAAGAAAAAAATAAAATAAATAAAAAAAGAAATGAACAGTGTCGCATAATGGCCTAGGCCCAAAGTACTTTTTTTTAAGAGAAGAATTTTCATCAAAAGAAGAAAAAAGGGAAAAACTTCTAGCGAAAAAATAAAAATAAATAAAAAAGAAAATGAACAGTGTCGCACAGTGCCGATGTTCCTAGAGACCAGGGATTCATGGGCGCTTAAAGAGAGGCCAGGGATTCCTAGACGCTTAAAGAAAGTAGTATTTTTAGGGGAAGAATCTCCATCAAAAGAAGAAAAAAGAAAAAAATCTAACAAAAAAAAATAAAAATAAAAAATAGTGTCGTAGAGTGGCCGACGCCCCTAGAGCCAGGGATTCCTGGGCGCTTAAAAAGAGTAGTTATGCAGGTGGGCCTCGTGGCACCCGTGGTTGGCGTCCATTCATCATTGGTGGCTGTGCCACTCAGGTTGCCATGGGCGATGCGTCAAGACTGCCATTGGTGGTCGTTGGGCGGGGGTGGCTGGCTCGCTGCTACTCAAGCGGCCGTGGGTAGCGTGTGGACTGTTGGTGGGTATCTTATTTGGGTAGGGTATGAGTAATTTTTTTTTACCCAATAGAAATGGGGAGCGGAGGGTATGGGGAGTGCATTATCCATGGATAAGGCTTTAGCTCAATTAATCATTTATTACTATAAATTGGTGAATTAGATAATACAAAGTATTTGGGACCCACATGTTGATATTACATAAATATTTCTGTACAATGTTGCTGCCTGCTATAACAAGTCATCTCTAACCAATTTCAATTAATTTTGTGCAAATTTTAAGGTGTGAACGCAAGCTTTTAATTTTATTGTCTAACTTTTGATGTGCACTATAACACAACATACTTTTGCCGACACTTTCTATTGTAGGCAAAGGGCACCTTTGTCGACAGATAACCTCCCGTGAAAAGTTTTGCCGACAGTTTAGAAACAGTCGCGCTAGAAGCCGTCGGCGAAACTTTTGCCGACAGTTAACAGAATCCCCGACACTTTATGTGTAGGCAAACGGTCTACCTACGCCGACAGTTGAAACCTTTGCCGACAGTTAACCCTTTGCCGACAGTTAAGACCTACGCCGACAGTTAAGACCTTTCCTGACAGTTTGTATGTTGGCAAAACCATTTTCAAGCATTTTATGAAACATGCCCTTGTCAGCAAGTAAACCATTGGCAAAACTATATAGCAAATATAGATATCAATTCAATTTGAATGATTTGACAAATCCACTTTTGTTCATAGAGAAGGCATCACATTGAGCAAATGTACTTGATTTTATAGAAATAATATATTAAATATTCCATACATACATCAAATGGATATTGCAAGTCAAAGTGATGATCATAGTACACATAGCCATACATATACAAGTCTAGGATATAGATGAGCCACTAGAATACATATATAGACATATACTATAAGTCCTGTGCTAACTGATTTTGGCTAAAATTAAGAGATCAATAGATCATGACTCGGGCACAAAAGTGACATTCAACACTTCCATGTATTTGGCCTACATGATAGCAGGTGTAGAACAAAAGAACAGAACAACAATTCATGTCTTCTTGCAGCAATTCTAGGACACTTCATAATACTCCTTTCCTTGATGCACAAATGTGGCGTGTTCAGCTGAGCTTGTTCTACAGTAGTGACATTTTGTATTTCTCAGATGACTTGACGCTTCAATACATATGCAACATTATATTAGAAAGTTGTAACAGCTAGAATTCAAAATTTAAATTAACAGATTTGTGGTGTAGAAATATTTCCCATCAAAGGGAATGGAGAATCCAGTATTTCTGAAAACCCCACATGGACTTGCATTATTATCTAAACAATTCACCAGCCCTACTGCACCTCTAGGTGTTTTGAAAGCAATAATTTAGCATGACCTGGGTTGTCTCAACAACCAAGACTGCCATCTCCATCTCAATAAGCTACTGATGACCTGCATGTATTCTCATTTATCATTAGCAGCTCTAAACATAAAATCAGCCCAGCAGTATGTTCATTAAAATAAAAGCATTATTATAGAACATTGACACTTGCTATATCAAATGATACCAACAGTATCTTTAGCTTTAGCTTTCAGAGCATATCAATTGCCTCCTTGTCCAGCTCCCGCCCCTGCTCCTTGCATGAATGATTAGCTCATATTTTGAGCCTGCATGTTCAGAAAAGTGATCAAAATGTGGACAAATAAGAAACTGTTGTAGTGAACCTATCTAGTCTTACTACATATCAATTAGAAGGTCCTCCGAACTCTCTACCTGCAAGAGAAGAAAATAACAAGGGCTGATGAAAAAGGCAAACTGCTAACTGCGACACATTTTGTAGCATGCATTTGAGTTGTAAAGATAAATGCATGGTTCATAAATTCATACAGGTGATTACATGTATAATTACAAGCACCAGTTATCATTTAACCAAATAAATTAAAAAGAGATGCTTCAACACAGAAGCTAATCCAGGTTACACTAAATATTGAATTACAAGCATCTGTCATCACCTGGTAATCCAGATTTTTGAAGACATAGCTACATGGCCTTGTTGATATACCGTGTACTTCCTGATGGATTTAGAAAGCCTGCTGAAACCTGAAAAAACATGGTGTGAGCATTCAGTTCCAATAACACTAATAAGAAATAAACAGACCAATTCTCTAAGTTCCATTACCTAGCAATCAGAAATGATCACAGTGCAAGTAGCTAATAACATAACAAAGGTCAATAAGAGCAGCTTGTATAGTTAAGCTTGCTATCTCCTTAAGCTCAGTATGCCGAAATATTGACAACACTTGTTTAAACACCACTAACAAGTGAGCAGCTGAATGATACTGTATGACAAATAATCAGGAAAATATGTATTCTAGTGCACATAATTAGAACTGTATGATACTTATATCTAAAACTGTATGATAAATAATCAGGAAAATAATCTAGATGGCTCAAAGGAACACATATCTGCATGACCAAGACATATTTCATGGAGAGAGAAAAACCGTAAAGTGATACTAGTTGTTTGGTCATCTTCATCTCTATATAGAACAAGACAAGGTTGCAGTAAGGG